TCATCACACATATGTGTGAATATACAAGAAAACAAAACAAACAACAGACAATAAAAACAGAAACAAAAACCCCATAAAAGTGGACTTGCAAAGGTGAATGAAGCATGGATGGATGGCGGAAGGCGACAGCAGTGGTGATGATGATGATGACGCTGAGAATGACGTTAGGCCACAATGATGACGACATCGACTTTTTTGTGGGAGCATTAAAACTCATTTGGGAGAAGGTTGCTTGTTTGTCGCAGAAAACTCTTACTTTACTCCCAACGACACTTTAAATCTGAATGTTGCATGCAAGTAATGCACCGCATGCAACATTACTTCAACATCAACAACAGCAACAAATACGGCATACCAAACAAGTTAATTGTAACTTCGTGTATATGGTCAACTATTAGGAGAGCTCTCTGAGTTTGAATGTTGCCAGCTGGTTAGTTGTGCAGCAGGGAGAAATTAATGCAACGTAGAGAATAACGAGGAACAGTCGATTCCGAGTAATTGAAATGAAGAAGAATGAAAAAAACTTTCAATCCTCACGATACTTAACATATCATCAGCGTTATGTTTCAGTGTTCTACATGTCATTTTCCGACAGTGTGAGATATTGGTGATTTCTAATGTTGTTCTGTATGCTCTTCCGATCTTTCAGTTTTCTGATATATACTCTAAACATTGATACATTTTTATACCCTCCACCATACTATGGAGTTTATATTAACCTTGTCATTCCGTTTGTAACTCCTCAAAATACTTATATCAGACCCAGCAAATTATATACATATTTTTGGTCAGCGTAAAATTCAAAGTCGATTTAGGGATGTCCGTCTGTCTGTCTATCGATGATCTTAGCGATGTTATTCAACGGAATTGTTTTACATTTCGTATTTGAAGGTCCTAATGGGTGCCACAACCTATGACAAAATATGCATATGCAGATTGACGTCTTTGTATAGCCCCTATATAACGGTACCTCCCGATATTCGGTATTTTTATGCTATTAGAAACATTATAGACCAGAATTTTTCCAAATTTTGTATTTGAAGTTGCAGGTCCACGTCCTCGTATAGCCTCCCTATATTCAGTATTTTGAGGATTTAAGCGACATTATTCAACGGAATTGTTATACATTTCGTATCTGAAGGTCCTAATGGGTACTACAGCCTATGACAAAAATTGCAGGTATCCGTCTTCTTATAGCCCCCGTGTTACAGATTTCATTTAAATCGTATTTTTCGACGTATTTTTTTTAAACATCTTTCAGGTTCCTTCCAAATGGTGGAGGGTATAAAAGTTCGGGCCGGCCGACCTTGGTGCTTTTATACCCTATATATATTAAGTAATTTTAGCAACATTATCAACCGGAATTGTTTCGAAATTCATGTTTGAAGTTCGTAATGGGTACTACAAAAAATTGCGTATGCAGGTCCACGTCTTCGTATAGCCCCCATATTACAGTACCTCCCTGTTTCGGTATTTTCATGATATTAGCGACATAATTCAAGGGAATTGTTTTACATTTCCTATTTCACAGTTCTAATGTGGTACGCAAGCTATGACAGATAATTGCATATGCAAGTCCCAGTCATCGTATAGCCCCCATGTCACGGTACCTCCCTATATTCCTCATTTTGATGATTTTAGATGCATTATTCAAATTTCGTATTTGAAGGTCTTAATGGGTACTACAGCCTATGACAGAAAATTGCAAATCCAAGTCCACGTCGTCGTATAGCCCCCATATAAAAGTATCTCCCTATATTCGATATTTTTATGTTTTTAGCGAAATTATTCAACACAATTGTTTTAAATTTATTTATTTGTATTTAAACCTACAGAAAACCGACGAATTTTTAAAAAATTTTTCAAGTTTCTTCCAAATGGTGGTGGGTTTTAAAATTCGGCCCGGGTATTTGATGCTTTTTTAATTTAATTACGAGTGATAAATAAGAAAAAATGAATTATTAATTTAAATATTAAAAGATTTATTTATTTTTTTTTTATTTATTTTGATGTAGAAATTTAGAATTTGATGTAGAATTTAGAATAAACACAAGCTTATACAAAAATACTACTCTCATTTATTTTTTAAATTTACAATAGATTTGCAGTGAACGTGCCGGAGAGAGGATAATATTTGTGCGTGTTTCGAAAACTAGCACTACAATCCGGCGAAGAGATCGTTCCGATATTACAAACCATTTAAAAAATTGTTGTGAAATACATGAATGGCATAAGATAACAACACTAAGAATATTACTGATATTCCCATTTCTAATATCACAGAGATGAAAATGAGCTCAGTCGGCGGAACACTTATAGAGGTGAGTTGTTCTCTTTCAAAGTATAACATTTTAAGGACATGATCGAAAATACCCTCGCAATCAAGTCAAAATGCAATTTCGGCTCGCCCTAAACATTATGAATCACGGTCCACTTAGTTGAAAAATGTAATTGGGACTTCATTGAGCAAATTTTCAGAGGAAGTTTTCTACTCAACAATATTTCATAATTTCAAATTACAGTAAATTTGGCTGAGAAATGCGACCAGGACCCAAAAATAACCAACAACGGCCTACGCCACTATCTAATGGCAGGTCTTATAAATGCAGAAAATCATATATTATCATTACATATCAAATTTTGCGCATAAATTACAAATTTTTTAATAAGGGGAATTTCACAAAATGGAAATTCAAACCCATCAAAAAATTCTCATTTCATATATAGTTATCAAGCCATTTCTTTAACAAAGTTATGTTGCACGATATAGTGAATTCAAATAAGTTTAAATATAAGGAGTTTAAATTAGTGGCCAAAGTTTATAAATAAGTAGTTATTTAATCTCATTTCAGTTACCAAGAAATAAATGCATATTTTGTACGACATGCCCTTGTAAAAATTATAGATTTGAAATTTATGAATTTAATGCAACATCAGGAGGTTCCGAAATGCGTTTCTGACCTAAGTCCGATATAAATACTACAACGTGTCAGATTTGGACTATATCGACAATTTTCTTCGCTTTATATGAGATATGCTATAGTTTTTGGAAAACTTTAAAATGTGTGTGAGGCTCCAGACATCGCGGACTGATGTATTCCACTTCGTCTGATAATAATAAATATTTGAAGAAAAACGAACCTTTCCAATTTTATGCGAAATAATGTTTAAAGGAAGGTTAACCTTTTGTGAGGAGGAACCAGAAGAAGTGGCCGATATATTCCATATTCACATCAAATCTATGGTTGAGAGAAAATTTTAAATGCTGCAAGAATCTCTGGCTTGTTTCGCAAGCTATGAGAAATTTAAACATTGAAAATTGTGACCAATTATGGGGGAGGTACCAAAAAAGGGAAGGGGCGTTTATCCAATTTTACAAGAAATCTTGTATCATTAGAAATATTGAGATGTAGGGGAGGATATAACTAAAAAAAATATTACGATGTGTGCAATGTGAAGACAGTCCTACTTTTATTTCACAATTTATAAGAGTTTTAATTACTTTAAATTTCGACCCTTTGTGGGATAGGTACTTGATAGAATTAGCCAATATTGTCCATTTTCGCACCTGAGCCAGCACTGGAAAAGATATTAGGACTTGCAAAAGTTGAGCGCAATTTAATGATCCTTTCTCTTTCTTTGGGAAAAAACAATTTTCTTTGAAAATTTTGACCTTTTGTGGGGGAAGTACCAGATTAATTATTGACAATAATATTACGATGTACCAATTTCGGATCAAATCGGATACTTCCTTCGAAATAAGAAACTTCACGAATTTTAATATTTCTTCCAACATAATATCCGGTGTGAAGATAATAAATATCGCCCCACACCTTCTGGTACTTCCCCACAAAAGCTCTAAATTTTCAATACTTGTGTCTCTCATAATTTGCAAAAAAAAAATCGGCGACTCTTTTTAAAACTCGGTAACCAGAGGTGTGATGTGAATAGGGAATTCATCGTTTGAAAATCGGTTCGGATATAGCTACAGCTACCAAAAATATTGTTCAACCGCTTTTTTATTTTATTCCTCCACAGTCGTAATACGCTCACCGTGACAACGATATTCCGGAAAACATATCATATACTCAGAAATACCTTTGCCAATTTTTATCGAGATCGGTTCAGACTTGGATATATCTCCCATACATATCTTTACTCGATTTCAAGTTTATCGCGCACCACATTTTTAATATTTGTCTATCGAAAAAAGTCTATCGAATTTTGTAATAATCAGTAAATAGCTATAGGTCCCATATATATGTTTCATGCGATTTTGTATTTAAATTCCTCACACCCGTAAAATGTTCCGCACAACAACGATATTTGATCCAATCCATCAGATACAGAAATAGAATACCTCATTCTATTCTCAAATTTAGTGGAAATCGATTCTCATAAAACGTTTCAATTCTGACTAACAACCGAGTGCAATCAACTGGAGCTGACTGTAAAAAACATAGGTGTGCGCTGTTGTAGCCATACAACGTCTCCCATTTTGGCAACATTGTACCCAATGATTACGAACACATGCATGCATACATGTTGGGTTGTTGTCATGACGTTAAAGCCGACAGACAGCGCCATGCATATGGAAATGTTGGTAAGTGTGTGTAAATTACTCCAAGAGTAAGAGTTTTCCACATGTGTGTGTGTGTGTGTGCGTGTATGAAACTGTTTTGTTTTATTTGTTGCCGACTGTTGGTGGTGACTCCATTTGAGTCACCATTGTGTGTGTGGTTGTATTGTTTTATATCATGTGTGTGAGTGTGTGCAACCAACTGTATGCCTTGGTTGGCTGCTGAATGAATGAGAGTGCCGTGCTGTGTGTTCGGTTAAATGTGTGAGTGTGTGTCTGTGTTTTTGTGAGCAAAAGTGAGCGAGTGAGTGCGGTTGTATACGACGTCTGTCGCTTTTAGCTTGAAATGTGTATGAAAACAAACCCATGCCATGCCATCCATATCAAACCAGAAAATGTTGAGCTGTTTGGCAACTTTATAAACATACATTGCCTCAGTCGTTTAGTAACTGTTGCATCGTACGTTGTCATATTCTTGTGGATTGTCGCGTGTTCGTGTTTTTTATTCCCCCAATCACAACTACACACAAAATCTATCAAATCACAAAGAATACCACACATTTGTCGAACAAGCGAGCGTTGTTATACCTTTGGTTCTGTGAACACCTCTTGTTGAGTGGTGTTGAACAAATAAATTATCGACGCCAGCAGTTTTGTTTTTGTAAATTATTGTCTGATTGACGGCTAATATTTGGCCAATAATTTTGTGTGAAAGATAAGATAACGAAACAAAAAAATAAATTGATTTGCCATTAAAAGCGAGTTCAATTGTTAGTGGAGCAAAACAAAAAATACAAAAATAAAAAAAAAAAAAACAAATAACGCATTTTTTGTTTTAGCCGGTGCGCGCCAAAAAGAAAATCGTTCTATAAAAATAAAAAAAAAAATTGTGAAAAAAATTTTGATTGAAATCCCAGCCAAACAAAAAAATATAAATTAAAAGAGAAATATTTTTTAAAAAAATAACAGTTTTTTGTGCCAATTTGAAAAATAAATTATTTTTTTTTTTTAAACATCCGAACATCGCTGAAATTATTTACAATATGTCTCGACTAAATCTGAATCATCGTCTACCCCTACTCCAGAAGCAGTTCTATGTGGCTCTGTGTATTTTCTTCATATTAACAGGTGAGTAAATCCAGTGGCTGTGTTCTTCAGTTTTCCAGATAACCGCTTGAAGTGCTCTTAGTGACGCATTTAGCAATTGTTGTTGTTGGTGTTTTTTTTTGTTTATCTGTTATTATCTCCAGATTGGCAAATGTGTGTTTAGAATGTTTCCATTCGATGTGGTTTATTTTATTTTTTTTCGTTTCGAAAAATCGCTTTTATTCGAACCGGTATTATGCCCACAGACGCGTCTATGAAGTCATTTTATAAATATTTATTTTGTGTTTTTGTTTCTATCGATTTCTGTTTCTAAACAATAAACAACAATTTAAATTCCACAATAAACAATTAATTGACAAAGCAAGAATTTTGCAGCAAATATGAATGGATTCGAAAATGCGTTTGAAAACAAAAGTTAAGAAGAACCTGAACTCTAAGTAAATGCCTAGCAGTTTGGAATTCAATTTTTTGTATAAAATTTAAATATTGAAAGTAAAGATGTTTAAAAACTTCTATAAAAAAAGGTTTTAAAAAATTAATGAACAATTTTAATTTAGTTTAATATAATATTGAAAAAAAAAAACAAAAATATAAAAAATATGTATAGAAATATATAAAAAAAAATAATATATAAAAAAATGCATGTGAATGTATAATAAATAAAAAATAATAATTTTTATAAAAAACAAATAAAAATTAATTTATATTATAAAAACTTTGAATAAACATTTTTTAAAATAAATATATTTAAGAAATAACAACAACAAAAATAGGTACAATATTTAAATATATTTTTTAGTGTAACACAATATCTCTAAACAATTACATATTTTAACCTAAATGGGATCATAAAATATTGATTTTTATTACTGCGCAGGACCACTGCCGACTTTCCCACAATGAATGACTATCGAAGAGTACTTCAAAGTATTGAATATTCACACTGAGCATGCTCCAACAATGATCGAGTTCATTGATAACTAACTCTCCAGTCCAAGGTTGGGGAGTCATGATGACTTGGGCTTGATTTCCGTACCCAAATAAGATTTTTTAGGTTTTCTTTAATTTCGGAATATTTATTTATTTTTTTTTTAATAAAATGCAATATTTTTATTAACACACTTGGAAAAATGTGAATCCAAATACCCTTCACCACTTTACATTTTATGATACCCTATACCACTTTGCATTTTTAGTAGAGCTTCACATAACAAATAAAAGTTTTTATGGGGAATTTGTGGCTATGATTACAGGGTGAGTTAAAAAACTGCAACAAAGTCAAACGCCATAATTTTTAATTTTTTTTTAAATTTTATTGAATGAAAGCAAAAAATGTCGAAAATAGCATCAAATTTTAAAATAATATATAAATAAATATATTTCTTCGAATTGATCACCTTTGGCACGAATTATGGCCTTCAAACGGCCAATGAAACCGTCACACGCTGCCTAAATGTTGCTCTGCGGTATTTTTGGCCATTCCCGGTAAAGCGCTTGCTTGAGGTGATCGAAACTTTGGTATTTTTTAGTGCCAGCCTTGCTTTTCAAAATACTCCAGACACAATAGTCCAACGGATTGGTATTCGGAGATTTTGGTGATCATGGGCGGTCAAAATGTTTGCGTGTTCAAGGCTTTAATACACCCTCCAAAATATTTTCGCGATAATATTCGGCATTTCGGAGAGCGACCATCGGTTTTTATGGCGGCCCACACCTTTACCATGGCCGGCGATTGAGTTCTTGTGGCACATTTTCAGCTGACCTCTTTGGCAAGTAAATCATTTTGTTTGTTTACAAACTGCCGAACAACAAATATTTTCTCATCGGAGAAAACCAAATTCGACAGTTCACCACTTTCGACCAAGTAAAGCAACTCTTTAGCTCTTTTGATTCTAATTTCATTCTGTTGCGTCGAAAGTTCTTGCACTTTTTGAAATTTCAATGGCTTTATCCCGAGCTCATTTTGTTCAAAAATTTTGCAGAATGGAATATTGCGATATGTTCAGCTCACGAGCCATTTTTCGGTCACTGCGACGCGGGTCGCGGTCGATCAAGTCGCTTCTTTTCTTTTGAACAATTTCTGCAGATGTTGCATTTAATAAATGACTAGTTAGTCACTATCATTTCTAGAGATTTGTTTTTGGGTTAAATAGATAAAAAGAATCAACAGATTCTGCTATGCCTATACTACAACTACGTAATTCATACTATATATGTAAATTATCAAACTCGTTGAATATCCCTCCCTTATTGCCTTGCAATTGATGCCAATTAAATATTTCAATTCTATTGATATTCTTTTTGCATTTTGTAGCTTTATTGAATTTGCACAACAGGCTTGAACAATCAAAGTAATAACAAGTGTGACGATATTTTACTTTTTACTCACGTCTAATTTTTTTTTCTTTGCATAAATGAGCACGTACTTTTAAAAATAAACTATTTGCGATTCTATCACTGTCCTTGACTCGTTTTATGACAAAACTAAACAAAAAAAAAAAAAGATTGTGTTTAATTTCCTTAAATTTTGTATGTTTATTTTTTACGACAATTTGAAATTCTTCGATATTACCATTTTTATCTGCTCTAGAGTTGTGTCGTTTCGAAAGCAGCTAGTTCAAACGAACTATTTCGTGAAGGGAACGAAGTGAACCATATTCAGTTTCTTCGTTAGTATAGTTCAGTTATGAGCAGCATGGAACGAAAAAGTATAAACAAAGCACACGTATTCTCTCTCGATTTTCATCTGCCATTTATTTGGTAGGGCGAGAGAGTCTCTCACCACCACAATTTCATATATTGTGAGCAAAGTTAGTATAGTTCCTTTAGTTCACATAACACCTTAAGTTCACCTAGTTCATTTAGTTCTCGTTCTTTAGTCCTTATTTATCTTTGCTTCTCTTGGTTAATCTTGAAAAACTTTTTGTTTTGGGCGACTATATCATGTCCTACACCACTATGTATATTTAGTATAGCTCCAGTAACAAAAGGATTTATTTGAAGTAGATCATATCACCTATCAACAATTGGCTTTAGAGCTGTTATAATTTGGTTTCAGAGGGAACTAATATATGGTAGGCATATCCAATTCTAAATCGATTTTCACTAAATTTGATGGAGACATTTTTATCTCTTATACCAAATAACATTGCTATAGAGTGCATGATATCACTTCGAGAAGGATTATATGAACAAAATATAAATTGGAGTAGAGTTCCTCCATATGGAAACGTACGTACCGAAATTTACCCCATTTCACCTGATATTAGCTATTATTTACTCAATAAATCTGAAATCAGATTGAGGATGTATATGCGGCCTATGTCCAAATCTTAGCAGATCTCGATTAAATTTTACAGAGGTATTTTCGAGCTCTATAAGATATCCAAATATCATTGTTGTGGACTACATATTACGCATGTGAGGGACTTAAACCCCCAAATCGGATGAAACATATATATGAGAGTTACAGCCATATCTGAACCGATTTTCACCAAATTAGATGTAATTGCTTCTAGACTGAATTCGATCGGATGTGCCAAAAAATCAGGTCATTTGGACTACTATTGGCCATTTGATGCATAATTAAACCGAAATCGGTTGAAGATATATATGGGAGCTATATCTAAATCGGCGCCGATTATCACCAATTTACACAGGGTTCGTTTTTTTTTGGTTTGTTTCGAAAATTTCATCTCAATCGGATTATAAATGCGACCCTCATTTTGTTCACAAGAATAGATGGACAGACGGGCGGACGGACTGACATTGTCCAATATCATTTAAGACTATTTTATTATGCCCGTAACCTTGAGTAATTTTTATTAACCTCCACCATACATAGTATGGAGGGTATATTAAGTTCGTCATTCCGTTTTTAACTCATCCAAATAATAGTTCACCGGATTTGTTTCAAATTTCGTATTTAGAATTCATAATGGGTACTACTGCCTATGACAAAAAATTGCGTTCGAATAGCCTCCATATAATGGTACCTCCCAATATTCTGTGTTTTGATGACTTTTGCGATATTATTCTCGGGAATTGTTTCAAATTTCGTATTTGAACTTTGTAATGAGAACTTCAGTATATAACGGAAAATTGTCTATGCAGGTCCAGGTCTTCGTATAGGCCCTATATATCAGTACCTCTCTATATTCGGTATTTTGACGATTTTAGGTGAAATATTCACCGAAATTGTTTGAAATTTCGTATTTTAAGTTCCTAATAGGTTTTGCAGCCTGTGGCAGAAAATTGTCTATGCAGGTCGAGGTCTTCGTCTTCGAGCCCTGATATAACGGTATTTACCTATATTCGGTATGTTGATGATTTTAGCTATATTATTCACCGGAAATTGGGTATTTGAAGTTCGTAATGGATACTAGAGTCTATGACAGAAAATTATCCGTGCAGGACCACGCCTTCTTATAGCCGCCATATAACGGCACCTCCCGATATTCGGTATTTTGATGACTTTTGCGACATTATTCTCGGGAATTGTTTCAAATTTCGTATTTGCACTTCGTAATGAGAACTACAGTCTTTCACAGAAAATTGTCTATGCAGGTCCAGGTCTTCGTATAGGCCCCATATATCAGTAACTTTCTATATTCGGTATTTTGACTATTTTAAGTGAAATATTCACCGGAATCGTTTGAAATTTGAATTTCGTAATAGGTACTACAGTTTGTGACAGAAAATTGTCTATGCCGGTCTAGGTCTTCGTATAGCCCTGATATAACGATATCTTCCTATATTCAGTATGTTGATGATTTTAGCAATATTATTCACCGGATTTTGTCTCTCATTGAAGATTGTAATGGCTTCTGACAAATGTTGCCTATGCAGGTCCACGTCTTCGTATAGACCTAATATAACTTATTTTATTGATTTTACCATAATTTATATGATTTTACCTTAATTTTTAATGGATTTTTTTTTTTTTTTTGAAAATTTTCAAATTTGTCCTAAATGGCGGAGGGTATTCAAAGTTCGTTCCGGCTTATTTTACTGCTTTTTTA